CCCCCAATCAAGTCCTCCTCCCTCGTCAGCCCAAAGAGCAATCAGGGTTCCCTGCCCTGTGGGAAGTCCAAGGACCACCCACCTCCATCCAGGTCTAGTAAGGTGAGCATCCACGAAACTGCAATGAGGACTACTGAGATCTCAAGAACAATGGCAATGGGTTTTTGATCCTACTGCACCTATTGGTTTTGTGGAAAGCCTGCTCTTCAAGGAAGAAAATGCCCCAGTGAATTGGAGTAAAGAAACAAAATTCGAACTGACTTCAAATTAGGGCTACACAGCTTATCTAACAAGGAGATGTTACTCCATCCAAAGCATGTTCCCGTGACAAGGCTAAATGCAGAGCATACAATTAGGGGGTCATGGGCTAATAGTGGACTGTTCAGTTTAAGGTGCTCAGTGGGAGCTAGCAATGTGTTTTGATTTCTTACGTAGCAACTACTGATAACCAGAATAAAAGCTAACAAGGGCAAGACATGTAGACACCACTAGTCACAGTAGATTCAGCTGTTGCCTATTAGTTATGAATACTGACCTCAGGCAGCCATTGAAAGACAGAAAACAACACACTCTTTCACTCAACTGGCATGTAGTGGGCCACCATGGGAGAAGACTTCCTCTAGGAACAAGGAATTCAGAGAGCAGAGGAAATACAGCCACTGTCATCTCCACAAAGTTCATACTATAAAGTAAATATCAAACTAGCCCCAGTCCTTGCATTGGTAAATGATAGGAAGAAGAATTTAGAAGAATACTGATTGATATGGAATGACTGGAATGAGTAGCACATAGAAATGGTTAAGACTGGGTGGTTGAAAAAGGGAGCAAAGACCCTTTTGAGGAGGTCCTGCACTGGGTACCAGCCATTTCAAGATATGTGGAAAACGAACTCAAGCCAGAGATGTCAAGTAAAGGCTTTAGAGAGGGAATAACTGGAGAAGCTGATGAGCAAAGAGAAGGCTGCTGCATCTGAAGGTAGGGGAGGAATTTGCTGTAATAACCCAATGGAGAAATACAGCAGGTGCAGATGATACAGTGCCTTAAAGTGTTGTTATTCGTGATACAATTATCAGTCACTTGCAATTTAAATGGGAGTTGTGTAATGATTAAATTATGTTTTAAAAAAGATGTTTGTATTTTCATGCAGATTATAAACAAGGGAAAAGAATCAAGTAACATAGGAATTTATGAATGCAACTGGAAAATTCTTGGGAAGGGAAAAGAACAACTGTAAGTGACAGAGGTGCTGCTGGACTGAAGAGAGAAATACATTCATGGGACACGATGGGATTGTGTGAACAAAACTGTCACAGGAGGAAAAATCAAGGGAAAGGGCATTGTTAATAGCACAAACTAGGGGCCATTAGAGACATCTGTCTCTTAAGCTTTATAATGTTCACGTCCAGAGAGGCCACCACTGTCACATTGTCATAAAAGAGTGGACCTGCTTTTTATCAACAATCTGAAAGTCTCCAGATGACCCTTGTTCAACATACACACACGCACACAAACACACATGGGGAATGGGAAAGCGTTGAGAATACATTATTTTAACAAGTTTTCTGTGAGAACGAAAAGGCAGAACATTAAGTACCATTTTATGATAAATATGTAATAAGTGTTAGAATATAATAACAATTGTTAGTAGAATTACTTTTGTTATCCAGAGACATTTACTTTTTCAGCATTCTTGTTTTAAGGAACCCTTTAAGAGTTGGAGAAACACTGTTTCTCCACTGTAAATACCCACACACATATACCCATTTAATTACACACATGCAGACTTTGAAGGCAACTCAGTACTAAAAAGAATCCTTAGCAACCTATCAACAATCACTTCAGGAGGTTAATGAGCCCTCAGGTTTGCTGATAATTACTGTATAAGGCTGCCAAGTGAAGGGAACTAAGAAACTTAACGTCAGCTTTAAACAGATTTGCTAACAAGTAAGTAAATAATAGGTAGCAGGGAAAAAATTCCCCAGTCCTTTCCTTTTACTTCCAGGAGGTGCACACCTGCCTGTAGTGAGCAAACATCATTTACAAACATCATGTACATGTTCATACGCACATGAGACAGAGAGAGCCCTCTGAGCAACTAGAAAAGTAGTCTAGTAGCTGGAAGCAGAGTCCAAATGCAGAGACAGAGAGATAAACAGAGACAAAGAGACACAGAGGCAGAAAAGGAGGAAGGACAAGAGAGAAAGAGAGGAAGGAAGGAGAAGACTCACTCTTTAGGATCATGCTTGACACTACCTAAATCAATGCTTTAACCAAAGAACCATGAAACCTCCAAGAAAAAAAAAGATACAACATAAGGTTTTGGATGACAAGTGAAATGTATGCATCTTCCAAGAGGTAGCAGAACACCACATACTTCTGTCGATGGTGATTAGACTTGTGTTATCTATTAGCATCGTTAAGCTGCACTCTGCTGGGGCCAGGGAAGTCTGAGAATCAAAGTCATATTGTTTGCTACAGGATTCAGAGGCAAAGCCAATTATGCAATCATGCATCTGCAATTCCCCCACCTACTAACTGAAAGAAACAGCATAAAGCATTATGAGTCAAAACAGGAAGAGGGACTGTAACACAATAATGAACCTTATGATGACTAAACCTGTGAGGATATAGTGGTTGGCACAGAAATGGCTACCTTTAGACAAAGACTGAAGAGAGAGATTGAGCAGGTAACACAAGCTTGATTGTAGTATTTCAAAGTGTGTGTGTGTGTGTCTTGTATGTGTCTACATGACCCATAAAACTTTTTTTCCTAAGCGATCAAGTGGACTTTATGTACTTAGAAAAAGTCATTGTCACAGCAAGACTTTAAAATTCTATTAGAAAGGAAATAAGACACACACATAAAAATTACGAGGTCAAACTCAGTGTCCCTTCCCGCGGGAGCTTTACCAACTTCCCAGTTGATCTGGAGCATACCTCTTCATGGATTTGGGGGAGAGTTCCTTTTCTACTTCCTTCACAGGCATGCTGTAGGAGTCCACGTTGTACTCGCTGTCATCATCGTACTCATGGTCTAGCAGGGTTCTTGCCCACGTCCCCATGTCATATGGGGGCAACATTCCTCCAAACTCAGAAGGCAGGATCTCAGGATGGATTAGTTGGTGTAGACTGTTTAGATTGTTACCGTGCAAGAATATCTATAAATGCAAAGTGACAGATGTGAGAAAAACACATAGAGAAAACTAAATACCACACAAAGGCTGGTGGGAAGAAGAGAGGCTAGAAAAGTAAACATAGAAGGTTTATGTGTCTCTTACAACATGTAAGTTTCTTCTCTACTCTATGAAGTAGACAAGATTGTATGATTATCTAACATTTCATATAAAAATCCTGAGGAGCAGGAATATTAGTTTCTGGAAGGCCAGATAGCTATTGGGCTAAAGACCTGGAATCACAAGTTTGATTTTTCTGGTTCTTTATAAGAACTATGAGCAGAATATTCTAAGCTCCACATCACCTTCGTGTTAGCTGTGCAAACCTGGTGATGTACGTAATGGTGCTATTTAATCAACTTTTTCTCATGAGGGATTCTTTAATTCCAGAACTGTACAAGTTATCCAGACCAAAAGCCTGCCTCCATATCCATTTCTCATTATTGTCAATGAAAATAAAAATACTATAACTATTTTACTGTAGCTTTATAATTTGAAGTGAATACTATAAGGGAAAGTTGATTAGCATCCTCATAAGTAATGGCTGAGTGAGGCCTGCAACTCAAAGGACACATGATCTGCATTATTGCCAAAATCCTCTGTCCTAGAGATTTCCATATTCATTGTTCAAATGAAAATAGAACAGTGAATTGAAAGGGCAACATCATAAGTATATTTAAATTATTGGTATTATTGTCTACATAGGGCTTTTATAATCTGAAGATGAATTCAAGTTTGAATTACTTGCTACCTCCATGAGTTTCTACCCTTTCTACATTTTTATTAAGAATTATTTAAATTATTTTATTTTAAATGTTTTCAACAATACAAATACTAGAACACTATTCATTCACATGTTGATATAACAACCCTTTGACTAAAATAAGACTTTATCAGTGAATAAAAACTTATTTTCAGTAGTTAGTAGCCAATTTGCATCACCATTAATAAGGCTTTTAAAGAAGACATGACACACTGAGGTTTCAAGATATAGACAAAGCAAGTTAGAACAGAGCTGAATGCTTCCTACCTGCTGACTAGCTTTCATAGTTTCAGAGAGTTCTGTGTATGTTTTTCTTAGCATTTTTTTTGACATGACACAGAGCCCAACTGCCTTCTAATGTTTATATTTATATCCATATACAAATGTGTATGTTTTAGCCGTAGATAAATGCCACTCTCAGTTTTTAACCAGATAAACTCCTCTTTGCCTTGCATGGTAGTGAATATAGAGACACAATGTTGCCTCAGATACTGAGAATGGATGATTGAGGGCTCAGCCCTAAACAAGACAATTTATTCTATTCCACCTAAGGTTTGGGGAACATTGTGGAAAAGAGGGCAGAAAGATTGGAATAGCCAGAGAAATAATTTCTTCTGGACATTGCACAGTCAATGCAGTCATGATCTCCTACTACTCCTAGGGGATAGTAGATCTCCCTATCTACTGCTGCAATTATATTGCAGTAGATGAGGCCTGCCAACAGTCAATCATGGACGCTCATAAGACTCTCCCATTCCTTGCTGAATTATTGGAAAGTGATAGGTTATGGAACAAGGATCAATATCTTCTGCAATTAATTGTGTGTCCACTTATGAAATGATAAGGCTGCAATGGATAACTCCAAACCCATGGTCCCAAAGAAGGCCCTAGTTTAACTCAGTGAATAGAGAGATGAACCTTTGGGGAATGGGGTGAAAACAGAAAAAAAGACGATGGGTGACAGTAATCAGAATACTCTGTATATACATATATGTCATATATGTGCATATATATACATATATCTTGTCTATGTGCACAAATGTGAAATTGTCAAAAATTAAATTTTAAAAAGTTTAAAAAATGTATGTTACTCTCAAGTCTTCCTTTATAATCAAGCTTTCATCATCAGCTATGGACCCTCTATTCCCATCAGAGAACAAGAGATTTTTAAATTGTAACTTGCCTTTACTTCATTTTCATTCCATCATCACTAAATTATAAATTGATCAAAAAGCATCACTAACATCCTGTTGATGAAGGCTGCTTGTTTGTTCCCAGCAGCCCAGACCTTAAATAATCACAAAGAAACTGTATTAAAACATTTCTTGACCTATTAGCTTAGGCATATTTCTAGCTAGCTCTTGCATCTTAAATTAAGCCATTTCTATTATTTTATATTTTACCACGAGGCTCGTGGTTTACTGTTCCAGCGCATGGGCATCTTCCTCATCTGACAGCTACATCGTGTCTCTTTGACCCTGCCTACTCTCTCTATATATATATATATCTTATCCAGCCTGGCTATATCTGTTAAGTCATTGGCTGAAAGCAGCTTTTTTTATTTACCAATGGCAATAAAACAGATTCATTGCATACAGAGGGTAATCTCACATCACCATCCCATGCAAATTTCTGTGATATTTATTTTGAAAATATAGTTCATAGGTAACTTAATTTCACATTTTGGGTCCAAGATGAATAGGTTAACTAGCACATTCATATTTGTTTTCTGTATCTTTAGAATCCACACATGTAAATATATAGGAAAATATATGTTTAACATCAGGCAAACTTTGAGAAATTGCAATTACCAATCAGCTATTATTTTTAACAAATTATGGAATATTAGAAACAGGTGTCAGCCAAACATTGGCTGTTGGTACAAAACAATCAGAATCTTTCATAAGCAATTGCAGTGTCGGAAGATGTCAGCTGCACCACCCATAAACCAGGTTAATTGAAAACATAACATCTTCCCACTGCAATTTAAGACCACACAGCCTGTGTGTGTGCATGTGTGTGTGTGCGTGCGTGCATGCTCACATACATGTGCATGCATATATGTGTATATGTATATATGTATTCATGCACGCATGCATGTATGATGTATGGAACACACACATACATACCAATATTCTTCAGTTGAAATTATTTCCCCTAAAAGAATCTAAGCTTCTAAACCCTTGTTATACCAGCTCTCTAACTCTGAAAACATCAGATGTGTTTCATCATAACAGAATCCTCCATCGAGTCATGAAGGAAGGTGTTGTGGTTAAAAACAACCCTTAGAGCTGTAAATTCTGCAACTCTCTGCTGCCTCCTCCCTAAGCATCGCTTTCAGCATTGGCCTTGATTCCACTCTCACTGAGGAAATAGGGCACTCAGCTGCAATCCACCCACCAGCATCTGTGCCCATGTGTTCTGCCTCACCACTAGAATAGAGACAGCATAATTCCCACAAAGACCAACCATTACACGCGCAAAACAAGATCTATTCTCTTTTCTCAACCCAATTTTATTTCCCAACAATTACCCATGTTTTTCCCATATTTAAACATCAATCTCTCCCATCTGAGGAGGAAAAAAAAAAAAGCTTGCTGTCTTCAACACCTTGCAAACAGATGCATAAAAACTCTCTTGGCTCTTTGATTCTTATCTTAGCTCGAATTCTTTATTAACAGCAGAACTCACAAGGGAAGTTGTTTTTATGCATTGCCAAATACTTTCCTCTAACATTTTATAAGCCTAGCCCATGTCTGCCCAATTTCTTATCACTACATGGTATCACCTTTTGTTCATATCGCTCTCCCTGATGAATTCAATGTCCAATTTTCATGTCATTTATACACAACCCTTAGCAAAACTACATTCTTCTTTAATCTCCTTTGCTGTAGACTTTTTTTAAAGACAAAGTCTCACTACATAGCTTTGTTGACTGGGAATCCATTATGCTCATTGGGTATATGAGACTGCCCATGAACTCACAGAGATCCACCTTCTTTGGCCTCTCAAGTGCTGGGATTAAAGGCATGTACTATCATGCCCAGGTAGACTCTACTTTTAAACCAGATTTATTATTCTCAAACTACCATCTTTGTTGATTCTGTTCAATCTTCAGATATAAAATACTAACTATACTCTAAAAACCAGTGTCTTGAATCCAGACTTATGCTTGAACTCTATATTTGAACAATCTCTCTCTCTCTCTCTCTCTCTCTCTCTCTCTCTCTCTCTCTCTCTCTCTTTGACTCTTTCACTTCACTGTTCAATGGATGTCTTAAATTCAAAAGGTACAAACTGAACTCAAAAATCTTACCCCCAAAACTGTTTCTCCTTATTCTTAGTATCAATAAAGATTTGGTTATCTTTCCTGTTTCTCAAACCAATACAAATGAATCATATTTCACTTATTACATCACCCAAATTGTAAAAAAAAATTGGTGATATCACTGAAAGTAGCTATAATCACACTACTAAAGTCACCTTCCACTATATTATACCACAGCTCAGATCCTCCTGGATCATCCTGTTGCCACTCTTCTTAAGAATACTCTTGAGATGGCAGCCGGAATGGCAATGACAATACATATACCAGATTACATCATTCTGCTCAAAATCCACCACTGACTACTCTATTCCCTGCAGTAAGCAAACCCTCTATGACCCATATTTCCTACAAGATCTATTCTTTTTAATCCATCTCCCACTGCTGCCTTAGAATATTTGTAGTACATCTTTCTTCTTCTTGAATATTTCTGCCTCGATATATTTATGAACTCTAATGGTCTGCAGAAATCATGCAGTGATATTTCAGCTGATATAGCAGAAGGCTAACTCACCAGAATGAATGCATTCTGGTGGAGGTAAACCCAGTTTGTAAGGTGCTAGACCTACCACCTTCTGCATTCTGACTACTACTCTTAATGGATCTCTTGTGAAGCCATAAGCACTTTTCTATGGTGCAAGATTCAGCAGAGTATGGATTATTGGGCACAATTATTTTTTCATGTACTGGTATATTTGGTCATCCCCCCACCCTTTGTGAGACTTTCAGTGGGAAATTTAGTCAATAACCTTGGTTCCCACAGTCTAATCTCCACTTTGTTCCCCGAGATATGTTAGAAGCCACCTCTCTGCAACTCTCTTTGTCAGGACATGTTGTTAGGAAAGGACTCTTTTATATAGATCACATTTGGGACATTCAATGATAAAGGGTCATCCA